ATATTACTTAAATCTCAACAAAATAAAAATAATATTTTGTAGAAGACATAAATATTTGAATAATACAATTTATATTAAAAATAAACATAAATTTTCTTTTAAAAATCCTTTATATTAAAAAATAAGTTAGAGATGCTCTAAACGAAGTAATTTTCATTTGTATCAAATGAAACCAATAATTAATTACATGAGAGAATGTAGCGGTGAAAGCGTGTTTTTTCCAACCTTCCAAAAGAATCCAAGAAAACGTCCAACTTGGAGCCCCGTGCACAAGAAAGCACGGTACAATCAAAGCAGCTATCAGTACAACCAAACGTACCATCCGTACTACATGTCACAAGATAGGTCAACCAACCACCCACCCACATTTTTAGATCTCCAAGGACTTAACACAAACCTAAATTCAAAATTGTGGCTTAACTGTAATTACAGCCAAATTCATACTTTCTTCAAGAGATGCCTACATCCTCCATGTTTTCTTGCTACTTCTGTACAATCTCATAATTAAACAATATGGATTCAATTACTTCATTAATTAAGGTTTTGATTTTGATTTTGATTTTGATTCAGATTCACACCTGCATCAAGCTTTCTTCCTCGTCTTCCATGTACTTTCTCACCTCCTTTCTGATCATCTCTTGCATCACCGATAGAATCTCTGCACCAAACGGCGTCGCATTAGCCTCCTTTGCATTTGCTTGTTGATCGTAAGGATACGAACTTGTGCCGGGAAGAGACAGGGTTAGTGTCGTCGACGGAGCCGTTTCGATCTTCGGTTGGAATCTATGGGAGGTTGTATGATTTTTGACCATGGATAGGAACGGAATATTATTGCCTGAATCGCACACGTCAGATCCCGATGGACTACTAGGCATCGTCATCGTCACATCCACACCTCCGCTCTCCGACCGCCGCGGCACTCTCGTCTCCCTCTCCCCTCCCTCTCCAACATCCATCGCCGTACATTTCCGCTTCAACGTCGAATTCCAGTGGTTCTTAACCGCGTTATCCGTACGTCCATTAAGCAACCTAGCGATGGTAGCCCACTTGTTCCCAAACCGAGCGTGCGCCTCCATAATAACCTTATCCTCCGTCTCCGTAAACGACCGATGCTCCACCTCCGGTGAGAGCTGGTTGCACCACCGTAAACGGCACGATTTACCAGATCTCCCTGGAATCGACTTGCTAATCAGCGTCCAGTTGCGTGCACCATGGCGATCCACTAACTTACCCAACAGCTCGTCCTCTTCGCTGCTCCATGGCCCCTTGATCCGATCCAAATCACTCCGAGACGAATCCATAAATGCATATAACAACAACAATAACAATAATAATAATCCGATGATGAACAGGGACAGAGGGGTTTAGGCTTATATAGGGAGGGAGGGAGGTGGGGGGTAACCGAATAAGTCGGTCAAGTTTTCAACAGGTGAGAAGGCGTTATAGTTACGGGAGTTTTGAAGTAGGCGGTTGAGGAAGAAGGAATACAGCTGTAATATATGACACGTGTCAATATTTTAGTGCGTGGGTTGTGTCACGAAAATCTCGCCTGTTTTATAACTTCTCGGGGGAAGTTGGAGAACCAACTTAAAACTTACCTATTTTGACTCGTACGGTTTTGGAAGTTACCTTTTCTTTAATTAAAATTCAATTTTAATTTACCAAAATTCTTTTTCGTTAAACAAGTACTCCATTAATAACCGACTTTTGTACTAGAAAAATACTTGCATTTTTTTATTATTTTAATTAATTTAAAGTATAAAAATGAATTTTGACCTTTTATAGCATTTTTTAAAAAACTAATTAAAAAAAATTGAAATTCTGAAAGAAAGCTATGTTCGCTTTCAAAGAGCTTTTTATTTTAGTATATTTCAATATTAATAATATTTTAATAAACTTTTTTAAATAAATTTAACTTATCGATGAAAATACTGTTTTTCTAATAAGCAATTTTAACTTTTTTTCCTTTCTAGATTTAGACAATTTTATCATCTGTTTTATACACATTTTATTTTAGGTGGTGTTTGGGATTGTTTGTAAAAACAACTTATTGACTTATTTTGGTGTGTCATCGGTAATAAACACTTTTGAGTGTTTGGATAAACAACTTATACCGGTGCTAAACCGATAATAAAAAGTTTTTGAAGAATTTAAATCATTCTGACTTATAATAAATTGATAAGTATTTTATAAAAAAACATAAGTTGTTTTAAATAAGCAATCCCAAACACCCTTTTAAAAGAAGTTATAAGCAATCTGTAGTGTAAAAATCCCAAAAAAAAGTATTCTTTTACGTTAAAAAATATGAGAGATGTTTTTATTAAAAATGAAGTAGAAACACTAAGGGGCCATTTACCAACACACTTACCCGGTAAGTGTTTAACGATAAAATTTAACACCACCACTTACTTATTGGGTAAGACTTTAGTCCATCAAAACTGCACCGTATGTAACAATTTACCTAGTAAACGGTTACAGTGGTAAGAGTCGTCGATCACACTTACCGGGTAAGACGCTTGATCCTTATCTCGTTCTTACTAGGTAAGAATTTTAGTTCTTACCATATTCATCGGGTAAAATAATTTGAGTTGGTAAACGACTTCCAAGAAATATGATCATGATATATGGGCCATGTCTAACATATTTGTTTTTTTATAATAAAATATTTGAACTACTTGATAACCAAACTTAAAAAGTTTGGTGAATGGTAGGAAAAAGGCATGACAATTACTAATTACAACTAAAAAACGTTTCTTTTATTCAATTATTTATCAACTTTTGTTGTTATTAAAATGTATTAATTAGTTTGAAATTATTTAACTTTTTATTATTATTTAATTAACTATTAAATAAATTATTTAGAAAATAAAAAACGTATTCTCTTTTAAATAAAATAAAATAATTCAAAAAAATAGAAAAGTAAATAATAAGAAAATGAAAATGGAAATGGAAATGGGGAGGATAAGCATGAAGAAATTGACTATGGAAGGCCAGGCTGGAAGGCACTAGGTTTGTCATGTACCGTAGGAGGGGATTTGATGAGGTGGCAGAAAACGACAAACATAGGGTCGCAGAGATTGTGGGGCCCATCATTACTGACACTCTGGCACCTCCAGCTGTGTGGCTGACACCTCCCTCTAATAACCCCCTTTTCCTCACCCGGTTTCCGGTCATTTCTTCCTTCTCTCTTTATTTACTAAACAAAACTAAGAGTAACCTACAAATTTGGTCCACGTGGTTTGTTAAAATCAATGCTTTTCTTTTTTTACAGTTTTAAAATTAAAGGGAAAAGAGGAGAAACTATTGAGTTGTTTGTTTACCTCTTAATAATTTAATTAAGAGGTAATCTCTGAATCGTTAAAAATTGAATCTTGTTTAAAAAAAATCTACTTCTTAATAATTTTAAAACCCTTTAAATGATTTTGTATTCTAAATCTCCCTTAACCATTAAGAACGTTAATTTTATTGTACATAATTACCAAACAATTTTATTTTATTTTATAAGAGATTCTTAATCATTCTGACCATTTAATCATTCTGTACCAAACCATTCAACAATTACCAAACAACCCTGAATTTGGTTCTTTTTAATGATTATTAGGAAAAATTGTTATAAGAAGGGTATTTTTGTCTTTTACTTAATAAAAAACTATTAAAACCAAAACTAAATTAATTTTAATTGGGTGAAAGCCCAAAAAGAATTAATAAAAAAACATAAATGTGCATCGTTGGCAGAATCTTTTAACAATTGCAAGAGGAAAAGACTAAACCCTACGTCTTTTTACAAACTATGATGATTAAATTGTAATTTCATAACCGTTGAAACAAAAAGTGTTATTTTTCACAAACCATAGGGACCACATTTGTAGTTTAATCTAAAACTAATTTTTTTAGAGGTGTTTGAGATTGCTTATTTAAATCAACTTATGTGTTTTTTGTAAAAGTGTTTATTAAGTTATGTGGTATCAAACCAGAGTTTTGTAAAAAGTGTTAGGATTAGCTTATAACGGTACCAAAAAACAATAAGCTGATAAGTTGTTTTTTAGTATTTGACAAATTTTGTTTATATATGTAAAATGATCAAAAAGAACAATCTTCCATAATTAAACTTATTTGATTTTTTAATATGTAAAAATTTATTTTTCATCATTTATAATAATATTTTTGACAAAAATTTATATCACTAAGATTAATAATTTATATCAACATGATTAATAATTAACAAACATTAATAAAACAGAGTTATAATGATAATTTGGTAATAAGCAGTTTTCATAAGTCATGAGGGATTAACTTATCAAAAACTGTTTATTACCAGTTTGACACCGGTATAAGCAGTTTCATTTTTCCTCATCCAAACACTAGCATTTAGCTTATCACCGATGTCAGACTAAAATAAATCAAAAAACACTTAAAATAAGCAATCCCAAACACCCCCTTAAATTATTAGAAAATAACATTTTAAATATGTTATCCTTTCAAATTTTATTTTTGTATGGTTTGTTTTTTTATCGAAAAATATATCATATTTTAAAAATTGAATGAAATTTCCTTGAAATTAATTTGGATGATTTTAAAATCACCAAAGTTGTAACTTAATATAATAAAAAGAGAACAAGAATCCTTAAATTCGGTAGGAAACAAACCTAATTTTCATATGAAACCGAAGCTCCGTCATTTACATATCACAAATTTTATCAGAAACCAATTTTAGATATTATATCAATCAAAACCAGACCCTTATATATCATTCATATATTTCCATTTCTTATCAACTGTCTTTTTTTTCTTTTCTTAACAGCCATAACTAAAAAAAAAATTAAGTAGCGATGTTGCGTAATACCAAATTCCTTTTAAGGACCGTTTACCTAAATACTTATCCGGTAAGCACTTACCGGTAAAATTCAACACTATCGTTTACTTACCGGATAAGATTTTTTTTCACTAAAATGCATCGTCTACCACAATTTATCCCGGTAAGCGCTAACCATGGTAGGAGTCCTCGTCCTCACTTACCGGGTAAGATTATTGATTTTTGTCTTCGCTCTTACCGGATAAGATTTTTAGTACTTATCATATTCATCCATTAAAGTAAAAGTGACCTGGTAAGCGCTTACCTAGGTAAGCGTTTGATAAACGGCACCTTAATCACCTTTTGAAACAAATCCTAAATCCACTACCATATTTACCCCCTTATAGTGAAAGGGTAAAAAAGTAAACAAAGAGAAAAAAATTATAAACTATGATATTATATTAATAATTTAAAAAATTAAAACAACTCTAATAATTGAAAAAAATGGGACTAATGTCTTTTTATCTTTTCCTATCTTTATTTGTATTTTTTTTATTTTATGAAATAAGATAATAGAAAATAAGACGACGATAAAATATTTGTTAGAGAAAATGACAAATATGTCCTTTTGCTTGTTGTGCATACTTCATATTCAATAGTTGTCAATTAATGAACCAAACTTCCAGAATTCCAAAAAAATAAATTGTTTTTTTGGTTTTATATGTAATACAGGAAATTCCGGTTTCTATGTTTGGTGAGGTTTTGTTGTCATCTCTCTTCAAAATCTCTCTTTTACTTTGGATTAAAATGTGATCAGATGGTCAAAAATCGGTTTCACATCCGGTCCAAATCAAAACTTTGCTGACAATTACATATTTTTTATCAGTTCTATTCAAGATTGATTTATCGTAACTGGTCTTGACGTAACCATTTCTGGTCCTGACTGAAAACTCTCGACCTGGTCTCCAAGTATAAATCCCGTTCCTAGAACCAATCTTGGTCATGGGTCAGGCCTGGATAGAATTGGAACACATAAAAAGCTTTTTTGAAGATCTTTTAGCATATAAACATGTTATTCATATTAAATGGTCTTTGGTCTAATGGTACATGAGTCTTTGGCCTCTTAAGAAGTCAGGGGTTCAAACCTCACCAAAAGGTGAAGAGGGTGTGTGTGTTTATTTATTCTATTTGTTGTATATAAATATTATATACTTCAGAAAAAAATGTTATTCAAATAGATTTTAAAATATGTAATTGGGTCATTTAAATACACTTAAAAAGTATGTTTGACTATGATTTCGTTTTAATAAGTTTTCGAATTTGGTTTATATTTTTAAATAAGTATAATATGTAATTTGTAAGTAATAGAAATTGGTGTTCAATCTTTAAATCTTCCACCAATGTAATCTTCAAACTTATGTTCCATCAAGGTTAACAAGGGTTTCAAGGTCGAGTTTATCATCATCATTGTCATCATCTAATGTTGAGTAGGTGTCATCCTCTGTGGGA